CTCTTGTTCTCTGATACTTGAGCCCATTGATTTGCAGTCTGAACGGGCCACCTGAGGCACGGAAGATTTCTTGTAGCGTGACCTTGGAGGTAGGCGAGCCAAAGAAAGAGGGGCATAAAACGTGGGTGGAACGGTAGATAAGATGAAGGGGAAGAAAAGGCGGATGTAAGAAATCCAACACTCAAATGACGTATGAAAGTCTCGGGTCAAACGAAGGCCAAGATTTACACAAATTGTTAAATGCTTCAAACGCTGAAGTCATTTCTTCCTGCCTGCTGATCTTTTGGAAACATGCAATAGAAAAATTAAATCAAAGCGTTTCATTGTCGTTTTTAAGTGAAACCTTTCTGTAGATATTACGATGCTATAGTCACGACATAGCTATCAGTTTGGCTAAAGATTAAAAAGGTCTTTCAGAATAAAGGTCATAATTAATCTGGTTTACACTTAAAATCTCCACAGTGACTCGAGGCCCTTCAAACTCCATGTAAATTATCAACCCATTAAACAAAGAAGCGGATGTGACAAGTTTGAGCAAAGAGAATCTAAAGCTAAAGTTTATTTCTCTGGCAGGCTGAATGAAGGAGAATGATGTCCAGATTAATGAAAGTTATATGGTCTAATTATTAAGCCTGTCACGATAACAAATGTTGCTGGGCGATTAATTGTCTCAGAAATTATTGTGAAAAATTATAATATTGTTTGAAATTTGACAATAATTAATCATTTCAAATTTAAGAAGAAATGTTGGGTTACTTTTGTGTGTAGTAACTTTTTATGGCCACTGGATGGAAGTATAAGACTGTTTGAACTCAAGGATGGATAGTGAGGGAGCAAGAAGTGCGTCTCTTCAAGAAAAATGTGTGTGGTGGGGGGGGGACTTGTTGTGACATGGGCTGTCTCTTGTTCCTGGTTTTTGGTTCTCACAACAGCGGACGCTCGGTGTGGTTTGAGCTCTTTAGCATAGCATTTTTCACACAAACTTTTTAATTAAAAAAAATCAGTAAACAAGTTCTCAGCTTCTTTTTGTAGAGAAAAACAACTTTTTACATGAAGGCATGGGTTTCAACTGAATTTTGGAGCTTCGACAAGACGGAGGGTTTTTTTCCCCGAAAAGCCTGTTAGCTTAGCTTGTAGTTTAGCTTCTCAGCTTAGCTACTTTTAATTATCCAAAAATGTGATTTTGGACGGTTAAAACAGATTTTAAAGAGAAAAGAGACAGGGAGGGGTCAGTGAAGAGCACCAGAATTGAGCAATTTGTCATCCAGTGTCTTAAATGGTAAATGGACTGTACTTATATAGCGCATTTCTATCTTATTTCAAGATACTCAAAGTGCTTTATGCTACAATCTGTGTCCTCATTTACCCATTCACACTAGATCTCTACAAAGCTAACTGAACAAATTCTAAAGAGACTAATCAGAGCTTTATCACATTCATACACTGATGGGACACACATCAGAGGCTATGAGGGGTTCAATGTCTTGCCCAGGGACACTTCAGCATGTGACTGCTGGTGAATTCGAACCCCCAACTCTCACATTGGACGACGACTGCTCTAACCACTCAGCCACAGCCGCCCCAGTCTTCAGTAGAAAGAGAGACACGAAGAAATGATAAAGCTGATAAATGAAAATGAGGTTGATAATTTTCATTTATCATGCGATTAATTGATTTATTGTTTATTGCGACAGGCCTATTAATTATTACTGAATTCTAACAGAAAACCTAAGAAGAACTGAGTGACTTTATCCGATACAAAGAGCTGCAACACTTTGCTTGAGATGTTTCATTAAAAACAAGTTGTTGCTAAAGCCAGAGAGCTGCGAGTGTCAGAGAACGACAGTCGAGACGGACTTTCAAAAATGTCTGCGTGAGTTCTCACTGCCTTGTTCGAGTCGCTTCGTTCACACGTTTCCAGAACTTTGAACATCAATTTTTAGTCAAAGCAGTCACAAAATCTTTGCAGGCAATTAAATGGATTTAAATCTAGAGCTGTATTTTGTTTTGAACTGCTACCTGTTAGCTGCTTTCTGCCTCTCACGTTTGTTTTTCCTCTGAAGCAGAGGAAGAAAAACAGCAACAGATGAGAGCAGATGAAGGGAATGAGAAAGACGAGGCTGAGCGCTCACGCTTCATTTAATCGACTCAATTTACATGATGTGTTGGGAATTAAAGTTTGTATTTGGAAATGAGTGTGCAACGATGTGTTCAAGTCCCTGAACGTCGTTAATTCATCTGAGAATTTGCATTTGTGAATGAAATTCAGATGTGTTGTTGCTCCGTGTGATGCCCTAACTTCTGATTAGTACACTTAAATCAGTTTTACTTTTTAGGTTTGCAACTCTGCAGAAAAATGTTTCAACATTGCAGTTTAAGTTTAGTATCAAGATCATAATGAGATTAAACCACTCATCTATTTAGCTTTTTTAGATTTACAGTACATCATAGTTCGGTTTATGACAGCTAATTACTATAATTTCTGTCGTACACGTCGTTCCACCATATAAGTCCATATTTGTCTAATAAAGTTGAAAAATCCATAAATATGTCTCTTCGCCATATACATGCCATCTATTATGCGTCACCGCTGACAACCCAGAAATGTGGACCGGTGTTGTGCCAAAAAACGATGGACTGCCAAATGGCAGCTACTGGAGCATGCAAGGGAGGACTTTAACAAGAGTTTAACAAGATTAACACTTAAAAACAATTATTTGTTTGCTCCAAATTACAGTAAAGGTGTGTCTCAGTCTAACATTTGCTTAATAAATGCAGTTTGAGGGTAACATCAGCTGCATTTTAAAAATAGTTTTGCTGCCTCTGCTGCAAAGCGTGCACGCAGCTGGAGCAGCTGCTGCATTTTTTTTAAATTTAGCAAGATAACCACTTTAAAAAAAATTGTTTGCTTGAAATTATAGCAAAGGTGCGTCTCAGACCAACTTTTCCTGAATAAATGCAGTTTAACAGTCAAATCAGCTGCATTTCCCCGGGGCGGTGGAGCTGGTTTGACGGTTCCAAGCAGAGAGCAGAATGAAGCCGGGGAGCCAATGGCAGGCTGATTGTGTCATTAATAGCTGGTGAAGATTCTCAGTCATCCAGGACATGGTAAATTCAAAAAAGTTCAAGAACAAAAACAAGAAAGTATAAAATATAATAAATAAAGTCCAGTTGTTTTTCCAACATTTTTCAGTCAGGTCATATCGACAGTTTCTTTTTTTTTTTTGTGCTGAAACGTTTCGCCTTCAGGCTTCATCAGTCAAGGAAACACAAAACAAAACCTAACTGAAAAATGTTGGATTGTATACCTGGATTATTGAGCATGGACTTTGTTGTTTTCAACCAGTTTGACAAGACTGTCAACAAGGAACAGGGCCGGCAATCGAGGAGGGGACGTACCAAAGAGACAATCTTATCACAAGCAGAACTGGTTTGTTCCACTTTGGAGTAAGCTGTTGGGGGAAGTTTTGTTGTGCGTTTCCTTGACTGATTAAGCTTTCCGGACTGAAGGCGAAACGTTTCAGCACAAAAAAAAAAAAAAAGAAACTGTCCAGATGACCTGACTGAAAAATGTTGGATTGTATACCTGGATTATTAAGCATGGACTTTGTTCCAGTTGTTTTTGTTTTGAACTTTTTTGAATTTGTCATTATAGCCACGGGCAGCACGGTGGCGCAACTGTTAGAGCTGCTGCCTCTCAGCGAGCAGGTCCTTGGTTCAAACCCCGGTCCAGGGGCCTTTCTAGGTGGAGTTTGCATGTTGTCTCTGTGAATGCGTGGGTTTTCTCCGGGTGCTCCGGTTTCCTCCCACAGACCAAAAACATGCATGTTAGGCTGATTGGTAACTCTAAATTGTCCCTAGGTGTGTGTGTGAGAGAGTGAATGGTTGTTTGTCTCGTTTGTCTCTATGTGGCCCTGTGATGGACTTGCGACCCGTCCAGGGTGTACCCCGCCCCTTGCACAGCGATTGCTGGACCCCCGTGACCCAAAATGGAATAAGCGGGTAAAGATAATGGATGGATGGATGCATGGATTATATGGGGGCCGATATGGTGTAGCGGCAGGGCAGCCGGCTTGGGACCCGAAAGTCCCAGGTTCGATCCCCAGTCACTGCACATCACGTGGCGTCTCTGGGCAGCACGTCTCATCCCCAAAATGTCCCCCGGGCGCTTTCAATAGCTGCCCACTGCACCACCTGGTGGTGGATGGGTTAAATGCAGAGACTAATTTCGCCATTGTATGGAAACATACAGTGCTGACATTGTGATGACATTATTATTATTATTATAGCCACGTTTACCTATTACATGACACAATGGCATGCCATACAGCTATTACTACGCTGCTGCCATCAAGTGGCTGAAAGTGGTACTGCTATTTTTTTTTTTCAGACAGAATGAATGAAAACGGTCATATCTCAGCCAAAAAATAGTTTATAAATATGGGAAATACCCATAAATATGTCGCTTTGGCCTATAAGGTGGAGGGCATGTAAATTATGCAAAAAACAGACTTATCGGCCGAAAAATACGGTAACAAAACAGGAAATATCCTGTGTTCAGCCACATATTTGTGTATTTTCCTTACAGTTGCACCTTTTATTTTGATTTGGTGTTTTTTCTTCATCACATGGAAACGTTATTCTCAGCTATCCACATTTAAATGTTTGGTTTTGGACCTCACATCACATTTTGTAACCATAAGATTCAATCTAAGCTCTTATTTTGCTCATTTTCATCTTATTAAAAAACTGAAGATGAAACTGTGCCCCCTAAGCAGGATTTCTGATACTTCGTTCACGACATCGCTGGTCAGATTGAAATAATCTGAACAAAATCTGCTTTTTACCCTCTCCTGACCCTGATTGTTGGTCACAAGCTTCTAGACGAACAAGCTGTTGCTGGGATTTTCTCCTCACAGTCTAAATCCAGTCTAAAAATATTTACTAACCGAAGCCCAGCTCACTAGTCTTTCTGTAGCCCCCCCCCCCAGACTTCTTACCCTCAGCAGCTTGGATGTGGTACCCCAGTCCTCGGCCAGCCTTCACCTCCAGCAGCTGCATGGTCCTGTCCAGCAGGCCATGAATCACCTCAAATCCTGGACTTTTGTTGTAGTAGACGGCACAGAAACGCCGACTGTTCCTCGCCCCGACGTCTGGGGGGTGGAATTAACAGCAGTGACTTATTAACATAAAGCTAGAAAATATTAGATCAAAATGAAGTCTTTTGTTTTATTTACTACAAATGTTGATGGAAAAATAAATAAAAAAGATGCTTGTAGTTATATATATCCTAAAATGATTTTACTATATTTAGGATATTTGTGTGTGAATATTAACATTTTAATCTAATCTAATTTCTAAACACTAAATCAGTAGGTTTTTAGTCCAGTGTGAATATGATTGCATTGCTTGGATAATGCATCCAATAATTATAATGATGGTGCAGTTGTTAAGGCAGCAGAACCCCAAACTGTGTCCATCCCATGGAGATGCCAACCTTTGGTCTGGTCCTTCAGCACCACGTCTGAGATCTCGAACAGTTTGAGGGGAAGGGGCATCTTCCTGTTGGCAGCTACAGTTTTCAGCAGGCCCGGCAGCAGCATGGTGCGCGCCACCTGGGGGACAAACACTGCTGTCAGGTTGGAGGCAAGGCTGCAGAGCGTCAGCGCCCTCACGTGGTACAAGTCTCGTTTGTTAGACTTTGAAAAACAACTACTCCATATTGTTGATCTGTTTGAACAAGGAACATTAAATCGTCAGTAAAAGAACATTTCATGTGAAGCGTTTAAACTGAAGACTGCAGACGTCACCTTACAGTTACAGATATTTACATGTCTGCAGCGTCTGTGAGCTGCTTAGAACGAGGCTGTAAAATATAACTGAGGGTGCAGCACAAGTGAAGTGTTTCTAACTGCTGGAATCAGCTCTTTTCAGATCATTGTAAAATAAGAAATTGCTTTTTGATTATTGGATCGAGGAATCAGAGCTCTACATTTTCCAACTGTGAAGACTGACTGGTTCTCTCTTTGAAAAACTTATTTAAACGTTTAATATTTACTCCATTTAAGGTTTTATTTAGCTCCAGGTGTGCTGAAAGGTTTTGATGTCATTTAGATATTAGGAAATAACAGAGTACTTTATTGGCTCTTCATTTTATTTATTTAATTTATTTCCATCAGACTCTTAAACAACAAACTGATCTCATCACTTGATTGAACCAGTCTGCTCCTTTCTTTGCTGCTATCACTTCCTTACACACATTGACTTTTGGTTTTCACCCACTTCTCAGTATTTTACTTGCTCTGCTCATTGTGGACAGCAAAGTAAGAACTGAATTGCTCAGGGAAACATGTTTCCCGGTACACGGTAGAAACAATGACATTTAGCCTACTATAGAGATCTGTATTCTATCGGCTAACCGCAGTACTGCTGTGTCTGATGTAAAATCAGAGTATAAAATCAGAGTTGTTAGATTTAATAGTTACTTTTTTGAGTTGAAAACTGTACGTAAGTGGTGTTAAAGTATTTTCTTCGAGAGCTAAGTAGCGAAGCTACAAGCTAACTACGACCGGCTTGCCATAGTGTTACTGTATTCAGATGCATGCGCCAAACGCTGTGTTCCGTCGAAAGTTAAAGTAAGTGTTGGTCAGCTTTAGAGAAACCTGCTCTCTGATCTATGAAAAGAACGCTGTGTTGTGTGATGTTACTGCGAGACCCTCTGGTCAAAGCCACAGGGGAAACTGGTCACCATTTTGTGTCAGCTCTCAAAGTGGAAGGAAACGCCCACTAGAGGGTTGGAGGGTGAAGTGTTTCAGTATAAAATGCTGCTCTGTTGCTGTTCATTTCTTCAGTGAGAATACTGGAAACTGTTAAGAGTTAACAACATATTATTTTGTTTAAAACATATGGCTAAAACTACATTTGATATATTTTGCACTGTTTTGCACTACAAGAAAGAAGCCTAATACTTGATTTGTTTTTTTATTTAGTAGTGGAATTTTGTTGATTGAGATTATTTTGTGGTATAGCAGTTTTCAAAATAAATGATGGCAAAAGGACACCCTATGGTTTTTTTTCCATTCCTAGTGCAAGTTTTATACCAAAAACGTATTGTGATATATATCGTTACCGCCACCCATCACAATAGATATCGTGATATGAATTTTATGCCATATCGTACATCCCTAGTAAAGACTGAATCCTGATTACCGTACTTTCCGCCGTACCCAATGCATCGCCGTATAAGTCGCATCAGTCCAAATATGTCTAATAAAGTGAAAAAAACAAAAAAAAAAACAAATGTGTTGCTTCGCTGTATAAGTCATATCTATTATGCGTCACTGCTGACACGTCGCGTTCGTTATGCGTCACTGCTGGGCCGGTGCTGTTCCAAAAACTGATTGGCTGCCAAATGGCGGCCACGGGAGAGTGCACGGGAGGACTTTAACAAGAATTTTACAACATTAGCATTTAAAAACAATTATGTGTTTGCTCGAAATTGTAGAAAATGTGTGTCTCAGTTTAACTTTTCCTTAATAAATGCACTTTAACGGTCAAATGAGCTGCATTTCATAAGCCGATTTGTGGAAGCGTGCAGAGGGATGACTCGCTGTGCATTTTTTCAAAATTTAACAAGATATCCACCTAAAAACAATTATTTGTTTGCTCAACATTATAGTAAAGGTGTGTCTCAGTTGAACTTTTCCTGAATAAATGCACTTTAATGGTCAAATCAGCTGCATTTCGCCTGGGCAGCGCGACGAAATGCAGCTGATTTGACGTTTGCTCCAGGAGTTCTGGAACGAGAAGAAGGTGGTGTTGTATGGCAAGCAAAGTGTCTCATTAATAGGTAAAAGTGTCTATTAATGAGACACTTAGCTTGCTATATTAGTTTAGGGCCCTCTAGTGGCTGAAAATGGTAGTGTTCAATATTTTCCATGTCAGAATGAATGAAATTGTCAGATCTCAGCCAAAAATTGGGTTATAAATATGGGAAAAAACATAAATAAGTTGCTTCGCTGTATAAGTCACAGGCAAGCTAATTTATGCAAAAATGTGTTACTTATACAGCAAAATCTAAAGTATGCATCACCTGAAACTCTGCAGTCTTGGGGTTGGAAATATGAGCCGCTCTAGTCTCGGAGATCTTTTTCCCAAGCTTGTCAGCAATATCCTCTTGAGAACACTACAGGGAGCGAGGAGGGACAAGTTTGTCGTGTACTAAGACATTTAAAAAGAAACAGTGTTCTTTATGTGTGATTTGTGGTTTTCTCACCAGAGCAAAGTTGAGAGCCTCTGTAAAGCCAGCAGCTGCCAGGTCTTGCCTCAACAGTTCTGTCAGTTTGTTCAGAGGAAACTGGAAGCAAATCAAACGTGGAAAATGAAACCTCGGTGGAAACACAACACTTTCTGGCTCAGACTAATATGGAAGCAAATCAACGCACCTGGTTAGCTACAGTGTACGTGCGCGGCAGGGTGTGGGTGATGTTGTTGAAACCGTAAGCGATGGCAGCATCCTCCATGATGTCACAAGAGTGGATGACGTCTGAACGGGTCGGTGGGATCTCAACCTCGATCTCATCGTCGACGCCAGTTGCTTGGGAGAACAGGCACATCCTGGTCAGCAGCTGAGCTATCCTCTCAGTCGACTCACTGCCAGGAAAAACAAAAAACACTCGGCTTCAGTACAACGTGGGAATTTAAACTTTGCTGTTGTTGCATTGAAACTGAGCAGCTTAGGCGAACAAAAAACAGAACAATTGTCCTCAGTTATGAGGGTGTTGCTTTGGTTGGTTGTGGTGAAGAAAGAGTTGAGCCAAAACGCAAAGCTCTCAAGTTACACATCTGTGTATGAGCCAACCCTCACCTGTGGTCAGAAGGTTTGGATCATGAATGAGATCCTGGATACAAGCAGCCAAAAGAACTTCATTCACTTTGAGTAGAGCTTCTACTCCTTCACATCAAAATGAACTAGAATAATCACTGTGAAAAACCACATCATGTTGCTGCTGATCTGTTTCATGTTGCTGCTGATCTGTTTAAATGTTGATGTGTTCATGCATGCACATCCGCTCACACAGACCCATGTTCATGTTTGTGCTGATGTTCAATGTTTTTATGTTATGAGTGCTTAGTGTATATTTCGTTGATGTTTTTCTTAGTTCATATCTTAGATGTTATTACTGGTTTTCTTATACATTTTATTGTTGGATGTAACTGGGACCCTGTGTACATAATTTCGCTCCCCCACATGTACCACATGAGGTGCGAATGACAAAGAATCTCTGACTCTCTGACTCTGACAAAATGAGTCAGGTGAGGTGGTTCAGGCAACTGATTAGGATGCCTCCCTTTAGAGGTTTTCTGGGCACGTTCCACTGGTCCGAGGCCCTAGTGAAGACCCGGAACTCCCTGGAAGGACTGTGTATCTTCTCTGATCTGGGAATGCCTTGGGGTTCCACAGGAGGAGCTGGAAAGGTCACTGGGACAGGGATGAGTGTTTCACTGCTGCACCTGTTGCCTCCATGACTCGACGACAGATGAGCAGCAGAAGATGAAGAATAACTGGATTCTGATGCATGCTCAATAATCCAGGTATACAATCCAACATTTTTCAGTAAGGTCATCTGGACAGTTTCTTTTTTTTTTGGTGCTGAAAAGTTTCACCTTCCATCCAGAAGGCTTCATCAGTCAAGGAAACACACAACACAAAACTGATTCTTCCCTCAACAGCTTACTCCAAAGTGGAACAAACCAGTTATGTTGGTGCTAAGATGGTTTCTTTGGTACACCCCTTCCTCTTGTGCCGGCCCTCTTCCTTGTCGACAGTCATGTCAAACTGGTTCAAAACTAAAGAACGTCCATGCTCAATAATCCAGGTATATACAATCCAACAATTTTCAGTCAGGTGAACAGTTTCAGCAAAAAAAAAAAAAAAAAAATGTCCAGATGACCTGACTGAAAATTGTTCAGCTGGATGCAGAGTTTGGGACTTCTTCCATCATGAAATATTCCTGATAGCCAACACTTTGTAGTGGTTTATTACAGATGTAGCGAGTATCAAGAGTCCTGGCTGCAGCACAGTGAAGACAACTGTGGTCTCTGAACATTTAAAGCAGGACTGGTCACGTTATCCTCATGCTTCAGCTACAAATGTGAAGACATGGAAACAACAAAGCACAGATATGATGCCCATGGTGGTACAATCTAACGTGGCGTGATGGAGAGTTGTGTCAGAGTGGGGCATGTAGCCATAATGGAGGTAAGAGGTAGAATAGTTTTTGGGAAAGTGCTGCTGACACATGGAGCTTGATGAGAGCACAGAAGAACGTCTGGCAAATGTGGAAAACAGCAAAAATAACCTGTTTGGTGAAAACTAAGAATCTAGCAGCATCACAATTAATACTGAAGTACATTTTCAAAATTTGGCACATCCAGCCAGGTCCTGGTCGGTCTGTAGGTGGAGGAGAGGGAAACGAGAACATCATCCAGTATGAAGGGGGGTTGATAAAAACAAGATTGTCCTTACACATCTTCTGAATGGTAAACTACTGTCATGGATCTGGTCTGCTGGACTTTCAACACAACTGATAACATTTTTTTCAACAAAGCAACAGGGTTCTGGAGAACCTTCATGCCCCACTGAGACGCACGCGGCAGGATACGTCATGAGTATGTTGTGCCTTTCTGTGTTGTCTCGGGAGAATGCTGAAGATCATTGGATTCATGATAGCAGGGTTTCTGCTTTTTGGCACCAACAGATACCTGTGTTATCGGCTATTAAGGAAGACGGCAGTAGCGGTTTCGGCCAAGACAAAGATGCCGAGCTTATGTGAAGGATCAGTTCATGCTTCGAGCTCTCAGACTCAGATGATTTACGAGCTCAACCTTAAGATGGAAGTGATTTATAAGAATCGTAGGCCACTTGCGGCTTTGGAACTCGCCAGCATGTTGGGATCGACTTTGGAGGAAGCTAATAAGCACGGACCAGCAGAAATCCCACAAATCTGGCCTTTTTGGATATTGAAAGTACCAGCAGGACCCAAGGCTGACGAGAAATAACGGTCTGCCTGCACAAAAACCAACTGTGGCTTATCTGAATTCGACTTTTCCGTTCGGCCTTGAAGCAGGCTGACTTATCAAATTTCTCCTGGGGATGTGTGTAAACTAGGAAGGCTCCATCATCCTCCACAATCCCCGTCTTGTCGTAAAATACATATGAAATGTGTCTATAAATGTGCTTGCTGGTGGAGTTTTTTTGATGTCTTAAATCATGTCCTGCCCAGGACAAGGTGTGAAAAGATCTTTTTTTTAATACCCACTATCCTCATGGTCTTTCTCCTTTCCTATCTAAAGAATAAGGCGCCGCGCTCCTAGGAGCTGCAGCGATGTGCACTCCACCCATCTTTCGGACGACTACGGAATATAATTTCACTGTATGTCGGTGCAATGATAATAAAGCTTATTCTGATTCTGAGCAACACAGCAGTGTGCAGCTGAACCAGGTGACTCCTAACAAAACTTCCAATTGGCAAATAAAGAAGTAGCCCAAACTTGACTTTATTTACCGAGGTCAAAATAAATAATAAAATATCCTAAAGGCATGATTAGTAGCAGACCTACAGAATAAGATTAGATGAACAGTACAGACAGAAACTGTGAACACTGAGCACATCCAAACACTCACTTAATGCCAACTTTTCTGTTGATGAACTCAGCAGACAGCTTCTCCTTCCTGTAAGACAGTTCCTGCAGGAAAAACACAGGAAACAACAAAGCAGCTTTACAGTAGATTCAGATAAAATTATAAAAAAAGATGCAGCTGGATGAACAGGAAAGTATAAGATGACAGTACTGGGTATAAGCACGTCTTGCCATCTGGGTGCACCACCTCACACTCCTCAACCCTGAAAAACAAAGAGAAGAAGCAAACATCAGCTTCACTTTCTGCCCTGCACAGATGTACACAACTTTTACAAAAAACAGAGTTTTTTTTATTTAAGTTTAAGAAAACATTGAACATCTTGAACACATAAACTCTACAATCCAGACCCTGCAACTCTTCAACAAACGTACAGTGATGTCAGAGCAGCTCAGCAACACAAACAGAAATCTAACAAGAGTACAGCACACTATACGCCCAGAGACAATCTACAATACAGAAATGTACAGCAATGGCCTAGACAAGCAAAGACCTCAAATAAACTTTAACCTTGATGCTGGGATGATGAAGTGCACAACACTCCTTCCAGTAATGATGCATATGCAGCCTTCTCCATAAGTTTTTGAGAAGGCGGCTGGAGTAAATGTAAACATTGTACATACAGTAGATGTTCCGTACGGTGAAATTGTTGGTGAACTCAGACTGTTTCATCACTGATGAAAACGTCTTACCTGTATCACAGGCATGAAGAGAGTTATAAAGTCATGTGGCAGCTGTCAATCACAGTGTTTCCCCTACCATTATACAAGTGGGGTGCCCCACCCCGTCAACCGAATTGAACACCCCGCCTACCAAACCAAACTTGCCCCCCCCCCCCCCGCCCCCCCCGCACTGACATAGCACTAAGCTAGCAGCGAGAAATACAGGTTCTCTAGCTAAAAAGCTAAAGGAAGCACTCATGTTGCCTCTTCCCTCATGCTAAACGCCTCCTGCCCCCATTCAAAAACTGTTAGTACAAGCTGCGCTCAGACAAGTGTCTGTCCCCCCCCACCCCATCAACAAAAATAATGGATGAGATGAGCACCCCGCCATGGCAAGTTAACTAGGGGAAACACTAAATCAGTTGTGTAGAGGAGGGAGAACGAGAACTGTTCTGCATGTTTCATGTTTGTCTACTTTTTATTAGTTTTGTTTTCTCTACTTGGCTAATGCTTACTTTGTTTATTCAATTCAATTCATAAAGAGATGTTATAGATGCTGATGCTGTAGACAGGAAGGATCTCTTGTAAAGGTCCATCCCACAGTGGATCCTAAGAAACTGGCTGCAGATGCCGTCTGATCCGTCCACCCAGACTCGGCTGGCCTCTCAGTTCCCCCGGGCTGTAGGACCGCCCAAATGCCGGGCAGAACTCCTCCCAGAGCGATGGCCACTCCTCCCAGCAGTCTGCTGAGCTCCTCGTCGCTGCGGACAGCCAACTGTAGGTGCTGAGGGACGATCCTGTCCTTCTGCTGTCATGAGCCGTGTTTCCTGCTAGTTCCAGGATCTCAGTGGTCAGGCACTCAAGCACAGCTGGCAGGTAGATGAGAATGCATCCACAGAACATCCTTTCAACTCATTTGAGATTTGGGGCTGTAGTTGAGATATTATTTGAGCTTTTGAGATGTTGATCTGCTGCTGTTGGTTGTAGAAAACTGCCTTGTTGCCATGTTTACGCATCATAACAAATGTCCAAAACTAAAAAAGTTTCAGTAAAAATCCTTCCAGCTGCACAGCATCTGATACCAGAGGAAACAATCATCCAAAAAAATGTGACTAACATCCAGAAAAAGAGGAATTAAAGTTTTCAAAAGCAAAATCTCAGAATGAAAGTAACACATGCAGCCACCAGGAGCGGCGCAATCACATAAAGTTCATTTAATCATAAAGTTCAATCTAAATGTTATTCCTCTTCCATGTCTTTATATTTTAGAACTGTGAGCCCAGTTATTAGTTCCTATAGTCTGAAGCACAAATATCAAACTCAAAGCCTGCAGACCGTATTTTCTGGACTATAAGTCACTTTTTTTCATAGTTCGGCCAGTCCTGTGACGTACAGTCCAAAGCGACTTATAGATGTTTTTCTCCCTATTCTTGATGCAATTTTTGACTGACGCCTTAAATGTTCATTCATACCGACATGAACCAGAGTAAACATTACTATTTGCAGCCGCGAGGGGGCCCTCTAGGCTTTTGACAACTATATGTTGTTGCTCTACCACTGAACACCCTGCCCCCACCCCCCAAAAAACATTCACTTAGAGACAACTGAGAAAAACTTGACAAGAAAGTGATGTGGAATGTGATTGGTGAATTTACCAGTAACTTGCTTGTTAGACTCGTTGGTTTGTTATGTTAATTCAATTCAATTCAAAAATACTTTATTAATCCCAAAGGGGAATACATTGTTGTTGTAGCTCATCATCCTGGTTTCATTAGAGTTGTTCTAGATGCTGATGGCTTTGGGCAGGAAGGATTTCTTGCAGCAATCCGTCCCACAACAGATTTGAAGGAACTGGCTGCAGATGCCGATCCGTCCACCCAGACCCAGCAGACCTCTCGTCTTCTTGGGCAGCAGGACTGCCTGAATGCCGGCAGAACTCCTCCTTGAGTAATGGCCTTGCAGCAGCTTGCCGAGCCCCTCGTCGCTGCAGACTCAACTGCAGGTGCCACAGGACGATCTCAGTCCTCCCGCTGTCACAAGCCATATTTCCCACCACCTCCAAGATCTCGGCAGTCAGGCACTCGAGCATAGCCTCCAGGTAGATGGTAATGCATCCACGGCACCTCCTTTTCAACTCATTTGGAATATGGGCTGTAGTTGAGGTCTTATTTGAGCTTTTGAGATGTTAATCAGCTGTATGTTAATCAGCTGATGTTAATCCCGGTTGTAGAAAACCACCTTGTTGTCATGGTTACGCATGATAACAAATGTCCAAATGTGAAAAAGGTTTCAGTAAAAATCCTTCCAGCAGCACAGCATCTGATACCAGAGGAAATAATTATCTGAAAAAAGTGATTTACATCCAGAAAAATTTGTAATTAAAGTTTTCAAAAGCAAAATCTCAGAATGAATGTTTTAATTATTAATATTATTATTAATGTATTCATTAATGTATTCATTAATGTATTAATTAATTGTAATTAATCCTGTTCAAGATCCCAGGTATGTTCTATGTGTTATTATTTCAGATTAAATCTCTGTTCTGGCACTTTGTGAAATACACATCTAAATAAATGCGACCTACTCTCCGGAGCGACATACAGTTCAGAAAATACGGTAAATCTGGCCCCTGTAAACATTTGTTTCCCCCCTACAAAAAAATATTGATTTTCTCAGATTAGATTAGAATAAAAATGAGATTAAATTAAAATCTTAACTGCAGCTCATAGATCTAGTTATCACATCTGTTGAAATGATCCCTGATGGTTTTTATTTGACTCTCGTCTTTTTCATTGCAAATACAGAAGAAAAGTTAACTCTGCCAGAAACGTTTCCTTCATAGAAAGGTGCTGCGTCAAACCACATTTCACAGAATAACTTCAGCTCAGTAAAAGTGGGTCTAAAGATTACGTAGTATTTTTATTTCATTTCTGTGTGTACTTGATGTGTGAAAATTATGATGTGGAGATTTGAGTATTTTAAACTGTAAATATCATGTAATGTCTGTAAATAATATAGGCGGACATCTTGTTATCAGTTCTCAGGGATTGTACTTAATCTCATTAATCTGGTCTCTCTCTGAATGATTCGTATCACGTCACACTGAATATGTGCAGAAGTTGCTGCTTATTGCCATATTTTGTGCTGTGGGTGTGTGCACGTGTGCGCTGTGGGATGAAGAGGACTGTACAACATTGATATTAGGAAGTAGCTGTAGTTCATTTAGCGATTTAGTGACATTAGTTTCTTAATCATCTTTGTTTTTTCATGGTAGTAAATTGTACTTTTATAATATTTTATCTGGTGTAGTTGCTTTAGTATGTAGAATAGTCACTGGTTACTGAGGTTTATGAAGACAACATTTCTCAGGGTAGTCTGATTTGTTACTACATAAAGCTTAATGATGTGTGTAGTATATGTATATGTAGTAGAATGAGTGCAGCGTTTTCACAAGACGTTCTCTGTGCGTTCATAGTCATGAAAAATTTGTATGTATTACAGAAAGTCTGTAAGATGTGACATGTATGACAATGAAACGAGGTGTACACTACATTCAGCGATAGCAAAGCAGGAAGTATTTTTCTTCTGTTTTCATCAGTCAGTGAAGGCAGCGCGAGACACTTGAGGAGGCGGCAAAAATCGCTTTATCCTCTGCCCGTTACAGAGAAGGCAGCATACGTGTATGAAGTTTTGTTAAATTATCTTGAGCGGATCAGAAGTTATTGCAGGACAAGAGAAAGTTTGCAGACGGACAGAGACTATGCCACAATACGTCCTGCCTTCAACGGGAGCATGACAACACCATACGGAAAAACCAAATCTTTGTAGCTAAAGTCTTTAGAGGACTTGCAGCAATTCAATGTAACATCTGATGAACACCTGCTTTATGTTTTACTGTAGAGTTTGGCGGAAAGTCAAATGTTTTTCTGTCCTATTTAACAAAAGGCAAATTGGTTCTTCTCATCCTGAGCATTTCATTGTACTGTTAACCTTGAGTTAACCTTGTGTTAATCTTGCATATGACAAATAAACAACTTGAAAGCAATGCAATAAAATAAAAGTTTTAAAAACACAGTATTTTATAACCTGGGTAATCATTTTTAAAACATCCAATCGAAATCTACAGGCTTCAGGAAGGAGTCGTTTGACTGGGACTTACGTGAAACGCTGGGCACAGTACTCGCTGAACATGGTCACCATCATGTCCAGCACGATCTTTGCCTGCAGGAAACGGTCAAGTTTCAGTCACTGTCTCACGACAACGTTTTCGTTTTATGACTGGGGCGTACCTTGGTCAGGTCGGTGGCTGTGCACTCAACAAAGACGTTCCTCGTCTTTAAGGAGATTTTTGAATGATCCCCTGAAGAGATGCAGATAATACCATTAACTGATTGAGAGGTGACGTTTTGGCTTTTACATTTCAAACTGAATACTCTGGCACACTCTCTGTAAAAGACTCCACACAGTTTGTTCAATAAATAAATACTGAAAGTGTGAAAGCAAGGAGACAGCACAAACACTGAGCACACTCACCGTTGATGATGGGAGGCATGGACAGGACGACGCCGTTACTGTCATAGATGACGGGGTACACAGGCTTGTCTTCAATAATGTGCAGGTAATGTCTCAAGTGGCTGTCTGTCTGTGGAAACAACAGCAGTGGGTCAGCAGAAGCAGCTCGGCGGACCAACATCCCCCAAGTCAGCTGCTCACCTTGTAGAGGCTCATGAGCTGGGCTGCAGTGTATTCTCTGGTCTGGTTGAGCGGCTTGAAGCAGATGTCTGCGGGAGGTTTGGCCGTGTACGTGAAGGGCCCGGAGATGGTGTCCAGGTCGTGGGTTCCGATGGCCACCAGGCTCCTCTTCCTGCAAGAACAAAGTTGTTTTCCAATTGAATTCACTCAGAAGATATCCAGATAAACAATGACTCCTGTACGTTTTCTGTTATGTTTAGGTGGTGGTAGAGTTCATTCAAGCATCAACACTGTAGTTGATACATACAACTTGTTCATTTGGTAAAAGAAGTAAAGTTCAAAGACAAACTTAACCCACAAAAACACCTGGGGAGCGCAGCTACAACCGGACTGCCGAGAAGCTGCTGCTGGTACGAACTGCTGTCAGCAGCATTTTAATACTGTATTTTCCGGCGTAGAAGTCGCGTTTATTATGCGTCACCGCTGACCCGTGGCATTTATTATGCATTTATTTAATGGTAAAAACAGCTTCATTTTGCCTGGGCGGCATCATCCATCCATCCATCCATCCATCCATCCATCGCAGCCAGAGCCACTAACTCTCCAGCGTTCCTCCACCTGCACCAGCTGAGTGAAGCGAGCACGCACAGGAGGACTTGCTGTTGCAGTTCTTCGAAATTTAAAGCATCAGTCTAAAACTGCGTTATGAATATGGAAAAAATTTATACAAGTCACTTTGGCATATAAGACACAGGTAGGGCTGGGTACCTTTCTAAAAAAATCGGTATCGGTACCGGTGTCGGTTCCTGGACGGTTCTTTTTTCGGTACCAATTTTGTAATTACTATTAATTCTAACAAGAATAAAATTACGTTACACATTACAGTACAAATTGTGAGTTTTATTTTTTAACTTTGGTATTTTTCTATTCCAAGCAGTTTTCTTACATAAAAACAAACAAATAATTTCCAGGTCAAAAGACCAGTTACAAACCAGTGACACGTCAGTGTCAAATGTTCACTGCTACACACTGAGGACCTTTTCACTGAACAGTTTTTCTTCAGAAACATCAACATGTCTGTTTTCTCTGGACACAAACAAGCCCGCTCCAGACTGATGGTGTCTCCAGAACATGTTCACTCTGAGGCTGTAGATGATGATTGTTGCACACACAGATCCCTGGTTGTCAGTTTGACATAGTGTCCCTCACATTCCACCAGCAGGTCACTGGATTCAATGAGGTTAGGGTTGATGCAGACTTCTGCACCTCTGTGTCTCTGCCTGAATCTTCTCTGTGGATCTCTGGGGTTTAGGGCTCTGATCATCTCCCTAATTGACATGAGAACAAAACATCAACAATAACATGGTTGTGTTATTATTGATCAAAAAACATTATCTAGGCTGAGAGAGAAAAGTTTAACTGGTCAACAACATCCTTTAAAGTTTAATTTACCTCCAACATGCAGCTCCACTGTAGAAAAAGGCAGCAAACTTTTAACAACAAAGTCTGATTGTCCTGTGGCCTCCACCTCACTTTTCTGTCTGTCCTCACATCTGGGTCAGAACCTCCTGTGCGGAGAGCATTAACATAAACAGTGAACTGTTTAAGCAGCTGACTGGATGGATGAGAAGTTTTACAAGCTAAGATTTATCTGTTACTGTCAATCTTTAGTTAGCTTCTGAGTTTAGCTAGCTACGTAGATAAAATAAATTTACACACTAATATCTTAAAGTTAGCGTTACATGGATCATAGTTTATTTCACCGCGATGTACGTGTTAAGCTGCAGTTACGTTAACAAACGTAACTCACCAGCTGAAGCACACAGAGACGTCCTCAGAGTTCTTTGATGAAGAGTCCGGTCGTGGAGATAATGAATCAGGACGTTCAGGCTCTACTCACAGGCTGACTTTAATGCTGAGAGGAGGAGGAGGAGGGAGGCTAATGAACTCTTCTCTCCTCGCAGAAAAACACAGAGCAACTTTCTGCAGCGCGTGTTGTCGAAACCGTTCGACAACACGCGCTGCACACGTGAACCCGTCTGTGGGCGTCACCAGCACCAAAGACATAATTATACATAGATTAGGTACGGCAGCTCTATACAGCTCTGGATGTAATCTGGGTGTAGTCTGTTTGTCATATGTCTGGTGTTTTGCCTGCCTGCGTGCTGAAACCACGTGACACGTTACAGCCAATACCGAAACTTGACACCGAAAGAAGAGTGACGTTTCAATCCATACACCGACCGGTGCAGTTCGGTCGGTGCCATAAAAGAACCTCGGTTCGGTACTCAGCCCTAGACACAGGACTGACAAATACATGCAAAATACTGACTTATACGCCGGAAAATACGGTGTAAGGAATCTTTCAATAAAAAAATAAAAATACAAACTACTTTTAGAAAATTTGACCACTTTGGAACAAACGACCTGCTAGTCTCAATTCCAAGAGTCTCCCTAATGGCCAAGAGTCTCCCTAATGGCCTTGAGAGGAGGGGGTTTGGTCTTAACAAGATATTATATTTTCCTTTTAATAAAACTTTTATTACTAAATGTGCAGCCTTTCTCACTGCAGTATGTTCTTTGGGGTTTCTCAAATAACTTTCTCAAACTTCTTGTTCCAGATAAAGACACTTTATATTGTAGTTTTCAGTGGGGTGCAACATTTTTGAATTAATGCATTTTATTACATGAACAAACATGAAAATTAACTGAGTTTTTGTATTGACTGTCGAATCTGTTTGTCTGTGTTGCAACCAGTTAGTTACAGTCAGTTCTGTGTTGTAACCAGTCAGTCAGTTCTGTGTTGTAACC